ATGCGCATTTGGGCCCCCTCATCAGTAGGACATATCTGATGGTCCATGTGTAATAAAGACCATTTTGATCTTGTTATATTACTGACACATATAATATATTGATTCCTTAATTTATTTTGTACCCTCTCCGTCACTCGATATATATATAATAATTAACGGACAGTGAATATGTCAACTATGGACATTTGTCTAATTTGGCCTTTTCCGGGTTATTTACCAAAGTGAGAATTCAAAGTGAATTTAAGTAGTCGTGTTTGACTTGGTCCTTTCATAGCATTAAAAACATTATTGAATTTCAGACATTTTTGTATCACTAATTAAATGTGTTGTATTTTTTCCAGGTATACTTAAAAGATACTATGCTGCATCTAAAGGTGAATTGTGATTTCCAAGTGATCTAAACATTGATCAAGTGATCTACACTGCATGTAGACACCCACAGATGTTCATAAACAAGCTTAAGGGATCCCATCTGACCTATGTATTTTATTACACCATCAAGATATTTTTTTAATATTGGACAAAGTTAAAGATGAGACGATGTGTTAAGTTTTACACTGGGTGGTCAAAGTTTGGTTACACTTGGTGACAGCTGTTTAAGCATTTATGATCAGATAAGATAAGCAGACAAGGCATTTAGGTCAAGAGAGTTTCGCAAAATACAATCCTGCTTATTGTTCCTAAATAGGTTCCTTACTCCGAACCTATTTAATAATATGTATTATTTACGCATTGTTATATGGCCTTTAGATCTGCACACAAGTCTTTGTCAATGTCTTTTTAATATTACATACTATGGTTTAAATATATATATCATATTTAATATAATACCCAATTGTCCAAAGTTGTACCAAACGTTAATTATATATTTCTGTGTCATAAAAAAATACAACAAAACAAAACAAAACAATGCAATGATGTTTAAAGCCTGTAATAATAATATAACTTATTATGATTAACAGTGTCGGTAAACCTAGATCCTGCAACTGTACATGGTAATATCACCGTATCAGAAAATGGAACATGTGCCAGATATCAGAGAGAACCGTCTGGCACAAGTCTCGAAGATTTTTGTGTGCGAAGTGTTAATGCATTACCCAAAGGAATTTTGTATTTGGATTTGGAGATAGAAGATACCTTGTGCACGATTGGAATTTGCAAATTCTCAGAGAGAGAAGAATCAAGAGTAGTAAACACAAACGACAAGATATGTGAAATACAACTCTCGAACCTTAATAGCTCAGACACTAATAAAGGACCTCATCGGTTACGAATGTATTTACATTTTAAACTAAAATACCTGACAATTCTTAGTCTGGACACCTTGGAATACCAAACAACAGAAAAATTCCTAAAATATGATGAAGACATATACCTCTTTATAGCACTAAAGGGAAATATTACAATTAAATTATGTTAACGGTAGGAAAAAAAATCTTTATGCCAAAGATCACAGTGTAGAGTCTCTCTTTACAATATACTCCACGAAGATTTCACCATAAAATAAGGAACTTGCTGTGCAAGATGACATTTTTCTTCAACCCATAAATTGCTTTACAATATCTATAAACTTGTATAAAATCTTCTGGATTTTTTTTTTTTTTTTTTTAAAGTGCTACACCAAAAAAAGCTGCCTTTACAGTATTGACATTTTATTCTTTCAACTATTGATTCTTTGGTGAAGATTCATGTTGCTAAAGAGACGTTATGAATGCAGCATATTGTAGTTGTTATGGTGCAATGATTCTAAGCATTGTGTCCTTCTGATCTCTGAACATCCTTTCAGCACATTATCACTCCTGTTTTTTTATTTTGTAAATTGTATTATAATAAATGTATTTCTACATAACGTTGTGCCATTTTCTCGGATTTCTTCTACATAATGGCACGTGAGCACCCATAGCAAGAGAATGGTTCACTGTACTCATTCTACTAATCAGGGCTACTTCTAGTTATACCGAAGATATTTATTTATTTATTTAATTTCTCCCCTTTTTTATTTTTATTTTTTCTTTCCATTTTTGGGGTTTAAGCAAACGAGGGGGAGGGGGGGGAAATACAAGGAAGGAAAGGGGTAAAAAGATAGTAGAGTGAAAAAGGAAACAAAGATAAAACACTCTTCTTTTTATAACTCAAAATACCTAAATCTTTATATTACTTATACCCCTCTAATTCGTATTACTCTAACAACTTTCTAAGCTTCTAACTCTTAAAACTCTTTCTTGGCTATAACTCTTTAAATTACATTACTTTAATGTAGGGATCAACTGATATTGATTTTTTAGAGCCGATAACTTGACGATCAGGGCCGGCCTTAGGGGTGTGCGAGCTGTGCGACCGCACAGGGCGCCATGGAACAGGGGGCGCCCTGTGGCCGACACAGCTCACTCATGGCCGGCCTCCACCCGGGTCTATTAAAAAAATAAAAAAAAATAAAAAAATCGCGGCAGAGGGGGCGGGGTTTACCGAGCGGCGGAGGCGGGGCTTATCGAGAGGCGGAGACGGGGCTAATACCTCCCGAAGCCCCTGCTGTACAGGAAGAGGGAAAGATGCTTCACCATCAGCCAACTGCATCCACTGGAAAGAGGTAAGTGTGTGTGTGTGACTGTTTGCCTGTTTGTGTGACTGTCTGTCTGTGTGTGTGACTGCCTGTGTGCGTGTGACTGTCTGTGTGTGTGTGTGTGACTGTCTGTGTGACTGCCTGTCCTTGTGTGTGTGTGTGTGACTGTCTGTCTCTGTGTGTGTGTGTGACTGTCTCTGTGTGTGCCTGCCTGTGTGTGACTGTCTGTGTGTGTGACTGTCTGTCTGTGTGACTCCCATGTGTGTGACTGTCTGTGTGACTGCCCGTGTGTGTGACTGCCTGTGTGTGTGAGACTGTCTGTCTGTGTGACTGTCTGTGTGTGTGACTGCCTGTGTGTGTGACTGCCTGTGCGTGTGACTGCCTGTATGTGACTGCCTGCCTGCCTGTGTGTGTCTGTCTGTAACTATCTGTCTGTGTGTGACTGCCTGCCTGTGTGTGTGACTTTCTATCTGTGTGACTGCCTGCCTGTGTATAACTGTCTATGTGTGTGTTACTGTGTGTCTGTCTGTGTGTGTGACTGCCTATGTGACTGTCTGTCTGTGTGTGTCGCTGTGCCATTGTTTGTGCCTGTGCCTGTATGTGTGACTGCCTTTAACTGAGTGTGTGTACATGCCTGTAACCGAGTTTAAATTTCCCCCACCCCTTCCTGTCAAGGCCGCACTTTGACTGACAGACGCTCACTCACTGACAGACGCACACTCACTGACAGACACACTCTCATATACACTGACAAACAATGACATACACACATACATTATTACTTGGACACACACTGACAGATGCACACTCTCACTGACAGACGCAAGCACTCACTGAAAGATGCACGACTCCACTGACCGACACATACACACTGACTGACACACACTCACTGACCGACACATACACACTGACTGACACACACTCACTGACCGACACACACTCACTGACCGACACACACTCACTGACCGACACATACACACTCACTGACCGACACACACTCACTGACGACACATACACACTCGCTGACGACACATACACACTCGCTGACGACACATACACACTCACTGACTGACACATACACACTCACTGACTGACACATATACACTCACTGACTGACACATATACACTCACTGACCAACACACACATTCACTCACAGACACACACACATTCACTTACAGACACACACAATTACACACTTACAGACACACACACACACACACACACACATTCACTTCAAAATAAACACTCACAGACACACACATTTCCACTAACACTCACAAACTAATATTTTTTACATTTATTTTAAATCCACCCAGCCTCCCTGGGAAAGCTGGAGTGGATTTCTTACCAGCAGTCCAGTGTGGCTGCTGGGCAGGCAGGCAGGGGGCGCACCGGCTGAGTAAGCAGCGCTTAGTGATGCCGGGAGCCGGACTGACGTCATATTCTGGCTCCCGGCTTCATTAAGCGGCGCAGAGGAAGCTGAGCAGGAAGAGCTCAGGTGAGTATGCTCCTTCGCCGCCCGCTGCCAGCCTTGGGGGGGCTCAAAAGTGGCCAGCCGGTCAGCTCTTGAGCCCCCCAGGATGCGAGGCAAGCAAGGGATCTGCCTGGGGGTTTGGAGGGATGCTTTTTTTTGCCGCCCCCTGCAAAGTGGCGCTCAAGGCAGATGCCTTGTTTGCCTCGTGATACACACGTCCCCGGTGCCTGTGTGTGTTACTGTATTCAGGCAACTTGGTGGGAGGTGGGGGGGGCGCCGTGAAGACTTTTTGCACAGGGCGCCTAATTGCCTAAGGCCGGCCCTGTTGACGATATTCTGTGCATTTACCATTTTGAAAAAAGAAACTATTTCTAAAAAGGTAAATGCACAAAATATACAAGCCACACGTAGTGGATGCAGTGTGTTTAGACAGTGGAGCTGTGTGTATTTGTGTAGTGTGTACATAATGAATGCAGGGTGTGTTTGTGTAGTGTGTATAGTTAATGCAGTGACTGTTTGTGTAGTGTGTATAGTTAATGCAGTGACTGTGTAGTGTGTATATAATGAATGCAGAGTGTGTTTGTGTAGAGTGTGGTATGTAAAGTGAATGCAGTGTGTGTGCATAAAGCGAGTGCAGTGTGTATAGCGAACGCAGTGTGTGTAATGTGTGTATAGTGAATGCAGTGTGTGTAGAGTGCGTATAGTGAATGCAGTGTGTGTAGAGTGCGTATAGTGGATGCAGTGTATGTAGTGTGTGTATAGTGAATGCAGTGTGTGTAGTGTAGGCATAGTGGATGCAGTGTGTGTAGTGTGCGTATAGTGAATGCAGTGTGTGTAGTGTGCGTATAGTGGATGCAGTGTGCGTATAGTGGATGCAGTGTGTGTAGTGTGCGTATAGTGAATGCAGTGTGTGTAGTGTAGGTATAGTGGATGCAGTGTGTGTAGTGTGTGTATATAATATAATGTAATGTAGTGTGTGTGTATATAATGCAGAGTGTGTAGTATGTGCATTATATACACACACACACACACACTACATTACATTATATACACACACACTACATTACATTATATACACACACACTACATTATATACACACACTCTGCATTATATACAGAGTGTGTAGTGTGTGTATATAATGCAGAGTGTGTGTATTTTCCTGAAAGGATGTGATTTGTGTAAAATGGGGGGAGGGGGAAGAGGCATTTTTGATTTTTATTTTTAATGTTTATGTTTTATTTTGATTTCTAATGTTTATGTTTTATTTTTAATGTTTATGTTGTATTTAAATTTTTTGTCCCCCCCTCCCTGCTTGTTAACTGGCCAGGGAGGGGGAATATGACAGTCCCTGGTGGTCCAGTGGCATGTACTGAGCTGTGGGGGAGGCCGGCAGCAAGCGTTTACCTCCCAGCAGCTCCTCTAGTTCCCTGTGTAAATCTCGCGGCCTGTGTGCCATGCGGAGCGTTGCCATGGTAACCCATGGCAAGGCTCTGACGGCTGCGGGTCACTCAAGATTTACACAGGGAGCTGGAGGAGCTGCTGGGAGGTAAGTAAACGCTTGCTGCCGGCCCCCCCTCCTTCTTCAAGTTGTCTCCCTAGGGTGTACTCTGTTAGACCTCCAGGCTGGTTTGACATTACACAAACTCTGTTGTCCCAGAAATATGCACGCAGCATACCAAAAGTAGACCTTCCAAGGTGCTGGTTTATTAGGTAAAATTCACACATAAAATAATAAAAAAAATATAGATTAAATAGAAATACCAGATATGATGTCTCTGGATAACTCTTTTTTTTATAAATTCTTTATTTATATATAACATATGTGAGGTTACAGAACAAAAAGAGGGCTTAGAGGGGGTACCATCATACACAACAAAAACCACAGAGATTTGCAATTAGTACATTTGTATATCAATGAGCATAAAATTTATGGGATCTCGTGGGATGTGCATTCTCGTACCTTCACGTGTATGAGAGATGTTCCTCCTGTTCTGAGCGTGTGTGGCTATGTGTGCATTTGTCTTGTTTGTCTGGGGAGGGAATAGGAGGGGTGGGGGGGGAGCGGTGACGATGGTGGGGCGTGCGCAGGCAGGAGGGGTACGGGGCTAGTGGGGTGGGAAGTGGTCGGTTGGCGTGTGTTTATGCCCACGCTCGTGGTCTCCGTGGGTCATCTTGCTGCTCCACGGGCAGTCCTTTCCCTGTTTTGCGTCCCGTGTGGAGAGTCAGGACCAGGAATGGGGCTCTCGAGAGATGCCTTGTGCTGTCGGCATTTGACTAGTCATTGCATTGTGGGTGCTATTGGCTGTAACGGGGGTGTGTTGCCCTATGGTCTCTCTGGAGCACCTGAGCGTGTTTGATGGTGTGTGGGCGGAATGAGGAGGGGGGGAGGTGGTCTCGGGGGGGCGATGTTAGTCCCGCCGTGTTAATCTGTGCTGGGCAGACGGTGGTGACTGTGGTGTGCCTCCATTTCTTAGGATGGAGAAAGGGGCCTTGTGGGGGTAGATGCCCTCTTTACCCACGCCTGCAGGGCCCCGATGGGGTGTGGAGGGGAGGGTCGGGGTAGGAAGGGAGAGAGAGGGAGGGAAAGGAGAGGAAAAAAAAGGGGAGGGGGGGTGCGTTCTGGCGTCCGTCCCATGTTGAGCAGATCCCATTCAGGGTTCCAGTAGCATTGCGCCTATGTGGTAAGCCCTCTATGCGAGGTGTCATTGAGGGAGCGCTATCCTCAGTCCGGGGTGTCTGTTCTTAGGCTGGTCTCAAGCAATTTTGTGTGGTTCGCATCCCAGGGATCCCATATACGATGGAATGATTTGTACGTATCATTAATCTGTGCTGTCAACTCGTCTAGGTCTCGGGTCTCTTTAATTTTACTGATGATCGTAGAGATGTGGGGTGTTCTCTGGTCAGCCCATAGTTCTGCTATTGCCCTTCGGGCTGCTAGATTGATTCGGGCGGTTAGTTTGTTTTCACTCCTCGTGAGGGAGTCTAGTGGTTTGCTGAGTAGCATGGTCCACGGTTGCACGGCCACTGGCTTCTCTATGATCGTTTCTATGAGGGTGCTAACCTCTTCCCATAGTGGTTTGATTTTGGGGCATGTCCACCAGCAGTGTAGGTAGCGGCCTGCTTCGCCGCATAGGTTCCAGCACCCGTCGTCTGGTTTTTGGCCCATCTTGTGGAGTCTGTGTGGAGTCAGGTACCAGCGGAGCATTGTTTTGTATGCCTGCTCTTTGTGCGTGACGCATACGGTAAGGGAATTTAGTGTTTCCCATATGGCGGCCCAATCGGTCGGGTCCTCCGGCGCTCCCAGATCTCTTTCCCACGCGGCAATATAGGTTAGGTTAACCTGGGAAATGTGGGTGGTCAATGTCGTGTAGTTGGCGGAGATTTGGCCTGGTTGCAGGGGGGCCGCTAGGCATTGTTTTTCGTATGCTGTCAGCGGTGAGGTACCTGCTTGTTTGATTAGTGGTTGTTGCGCTAGGTCTCGGAGTTGTATATAGCGAAAATGATCAGCTGTGGTCAGAGCCCCCGCGTTTGGGAGTTCGTTGTATTTAAAGATTTCACCTTGCTGGTACAAGTGGCCGAGTCGTGAGATATCTCGGTGGTCGAACGCTAGAAAATGCCTTGCTGTCATTCCAGGAGGGAAGAGTTTGTTACGATAGATCGGGGTCATTGGGGAGAGAAAGGAGGACAGGTCGTATTTAGTATTGAGTTTATCCCAGAGTGCGATGGTATGTGTGATTGCCGGAGAGGTGGGTGGGGGGAGTGGGCGGTGTATCCGTGGTACCCAGATGTATGAGGAGGGCTGATCCCAGCCCAGAATATCATGTTCCAGGTCTACCCAGCGTTTACTGCCGGGGGGGGGCATGCCATTGTTGGATATGGGCCAATTGGGCCGCGTGGTAGTAATGTTTGAAGTTGGGTAGTCCCAGCCCTCCTCTCAGTCTAGGGACGTACATTGTTGTTCTACGGATCCTGGGTTTCTTGGCTTTCCATATGAATTTGTCTATGGCCGTCTGGAGACGCTTGAAATCCGAGTTTAGTAGCGGGATGGGTAGTGTCTGGAAAAGGTAAAGAAATCTCGGCAGGAGGTTCATTTTGATTGTGGTGATTCGCCCCATCCAAGAGATTCCCAGTTTGTCCCATCGTTGGAGGTCTGCGTATGCTGTTTTGAGGAGTGGCGTGTAGTTGATTCCGTATGTGTCTCCAAGGTCCGAGGATAGCTTGGTGCCTAGGTAGGTAATGAAGGACTTGGTGACGCGAACCGGGAAGGAGTGGTGGAGCAGTTGCAACTGTGGGTCTGATAGAGCTATGGGCATTAAAGTAGATTTGGTTAGATTGATTTTGTATCCTGAGAGGGTAGAGTATTCGCTTATGAGGTGCAGTATTGCATGTAGAGAGGATATGGGATCTGTTAGAGTGAGAAGAACATCATCAGCGTACGCTGCCACTGTGTACGCTTCCTGTCTTATCTGCACTCCCCGAATGCTGGGGTGGAGGCGGATAGCTTGGAGCAGGGGTTCCAGTGCAATTGCAAAGAGGAGGGGGGAAAGGGGACAGCCCTGCCTGGTCCCGTTGGTGATGGTGAAGGTTTGGGCATTGACG